AAGAAGGTTGTATTAGGTGTTGGATGCAGGATGTCAGTTTTAGCCACAGGAGTCCTTTATCTTGTGCCTTTTTGTTCTTTATTTTCTAGATGGGGCCCAATCGGTCTCGAGGGGTAGCGGCTGAGCAGGGAGACGAGCGAGGTGAGAATTTTCCTCCTGAACCGAGTTTGGAGTTAGTTTGAGGATGTTGTCTGTGTGGTCAATCTGTGCATCTATGTTGTAGCTGTTTAATTGTTTTTCCAGGCAATACACAACCCTTTGCCCGTGTTCTGAAGGTGCCGAAGGTCCATCCTATAGGAGGTCAAGCTGAAGGAGCCGAGATAGCCAGGATGAGGCAGTACATCAGCACAAGCCTCCGTGTCCGTGTTGTCTCACAGCGGCCGTCTGTCCACTTCAGGGTGTGTAGCAACGCTTCATCATTAAAAATGCCTTCTAATTTGGTCTGTGGCTCGCTCAGGTATCCCAGAAGATGACAGCCACAGTGTGTGACTCCAGTCAGAGCCAGTGAGCTCATCCAGTATCCGGGCTTCAATGGGATAAGAGCTCTCCCTTTCTTTCATTGAATGGGACTTCTGAAGCTATTCCTGCTTTATTGAAGCATCAGCTTTGGCATCCAAAGAAGCAGAGCTGTTTATGGCAATGAAGAGGATTATACCCAAATGCAGGGTTTTTAAATTGAATAATTTTGTGTGCTGTGTTGGTAAGGTGCTTTTCTAATTTGTTATCCTTTTTTCTTTTCCTTAGGAGCCTTGCATCTTTTGGGATCTCCCAATCAATTCAACTGCAGCTTGGTATTTTTTCACCAGTGTTATCCTGTCCTCAGGTGAAGCTGCTCTGTGTTGAAGATGGCTACAGACACCCAGGTTTGCAAGGAGTCAGTGGAGAGTTACAGCCTAGAGATGGAGGGAGGGCTGGGGTGGCAGCTTAGGAATTGCCAGGGGTGTTTTGAAGGTAGTATGGGTGGAAAGCATTGTCCAGGAGCCCCCTAAATGCCTGTGAAGGCACCCACTGACTTTTCAGATGGGCCACTTAAGTTTTCCTCTCCTTCTCCCAGATATTCTGTGCGATTTCAGCTGCAGTCTTTGGCTGCAGGCAGTGACCCTGGGTGGTTTGCCTAAAGAGAAGGGAGATTCTTTGAGCTCTTCCCAGCTGTCTGGGTGACTTTGGTTAGGGGTTCTTTTCCAGGTGTTGTGGTGAATCTGTGCACATGCTTTGTTTCTTGTGTTTTCCAGGGGTTTTGCCACCTTCTAACAGACAGTCCGAGGCTTCAGGGCCCCTGCGGGTAAGAGGTGACTGTGGAGGAGAGGTAGGTAGGAGCTACCCCAGGAAAGCCATCCTTTCAGGCAGTATCTCAGTGTAAACATTTGCCTTTGGCTTTTTTACTCTGCACAGAATGTGTGCAGCCTCAGAGGGCCGGAGCCACTTGCCAGTTTAGGTTTGATGGTCTTCAGCTGTCCTCATCAGTAGTCTCCTACTACTACGAGGCTCATCAATTAAAGCTGAACGTTTTCCAGTTGCAGGTGCCATCCTGCCTGCCTTTGGCAAAGGAGGAGCATTGAGGTTGAGTCGGGGAGGAGGTGCTGGGGTCTCCCTTACTTTCAGGAACACCCTGTAACTTTTTTTCTCACTCCCCCAGGTACTGCACACGGTGACGGCAGCAGCCTCCGACTGGGGTCAGAGCCAGTGGCCCGAGAACCTCTCAGCTCAGGGGAGGGTGAGTAGCCAATTGCGGGGTTATCTCCCACGTGCTGCCCAACTCTCGTGTCAGTTTCTGTTTTCTTTCTCACAGCAACCGAGTCAGGGATCACAGGACCCTGTGAGCCAGCCGGGCGTCCTTCCTTGGAGTCGAAGATGGATTCACATCCCCAGCTGTGGGAAAGATAAGTGGAGGACTAGCACCTGGAGAGGGGATGAGAGCTGGGTCCAGTTTTATGGTTAGGAGGGAGGGATTTTCAAATGAGCAGAGGGGAAAGGGTCTGCCCTAAGAGGCCCTTGGCACGCATAGGAGGAGCAGTTTACTTTTCATCGTGGAGTAGGGTGTGCAGGGCAGAGCCGTTCAGGTCTGTGTCGTGTCCTTTGTCCACTCTGTGTCTCGTGTCTTACAATTCACAGTCACCGTGTCTTTGCTTTCTGCCCTCAAAGGTCTTACTGAAGATGTCAAGGCATCATTCTTAGGGTCTTGAACCTTTGCACTGCTCAGCCCAGTGCCCATACCATCCGTTCTTTGTCTCACTAGCTTGGACGTGCATCGGAATCGCATCTGAGAAGTGTCAGGTCAGGTGTCTTTTACAGCCTCCTTACAGGTTGTATCGGTGGCTGTGCCGTGCAGTCATCCCTTGTAACCGCCCGGGACTTGTGAGAATCTAAGAAGATTCTGAACATAGAATTGTCTTCCATCCATCTTAGCAATTTTGTAGGCAGTTCTTGTCCCAGGCCATTGTTAGAGTGTTTTTTCAGGCTCCTCAGAGCCTCCTCCGTTCAGTCTCGCCGTATCCTCCGTCTTCTCGTGCGGCAGCACGTCCGTTTTGGCGTCGTTCCTTTCTCAGAGTTCTCTCTCCTCGTCGCACCACAGCACTTGTCTGGAAATGTGTCCTTGGAGTTTGTGTTGGGCCTGGAACTGCTCTGCCCTGCAGTGTAGACTTGGGGGTAGGTGGAGTAGAAAGGAGATTTTCCAGTTACCCTGTGGATAGGCTCAGCCACTCAGGGCAGGGCCTTAAAGTGAGGGCAGTGTTTGGTTGTGCAGGTTGTCTTTGGACCCCAGAGGGCTTGTCTAAAGAGAAGTGACAATTGCACAGCAGTTCATGTCCCCCTGTCTACATGGCTGACTTTGCTAACTCCTTTCTTTGCAGGGTCAGAGGGCTCCTCCCGGTGAACTACAGCTGTATTACCACAGGACAAAGACAATCCCTTCCCCTCGCTGTCTCAGGTGCAGGTTGTGGGCCACCCTGGGCACTCCATGGGCAGCAAGAGCTCTCTGTCCTGGCACCTTTTTCCTGGGAGGAATCCTCATCCCTGTTGTGTTTTTTGGAGTCGAACGGCCCCAGTTTCAGCTTTGGTGGACCCAGAAAAGCATCGGGGGGACGAAGACACAGCTCGGAGGGACGCTGTAAAGCCCCAGATTGGCAGCGAGGTCCCTTCCCCCTGGAGTGTGGGGACACCTTACAATTAAATGGAGTTTTTTGGTGTCACGTGGTGGAGGGGCTGAGGGTCTTTTCTGCCGTAAAGGAGAACCCTGACCCTGTCCTGTCCTTGTGCATCCCACTCTCTCCCCCGTTCCCATCCCTGTACCTCCCACGTGCTCTCAATCCCATCCCAGTCCCTCCCCAGGGAGCGACCCACTGCAACCCAGTGCTCCCAGTCCCTCCCCAGTGCCCCCTGTCCCTCCCAAGTGCCCTTAATCCCATCCCGGTCCCTCCCCCGTGCTCCCAGTCCCTCCCCGGTCCCTTCTCAGTGCCTCCAGTCCCTCCCAAGTGCCCTCAATCCCATCTCAGTCTTGTCCCCAGTGCTCCCATTAAAAATGAAATCAAAATGAATTCAAAACATATCTCACTCCCCATCCCCTCCCAGTGCCCCTCCCAGTGTCACTGCCAGTACCCCCATTCCCCTCCCAGTTCCCATACTGGTCACACTGGAGTCAGGTCTGTTGCTGATTTGACCCTTTATTGACAAGTGGACAATGGGGTCAAAGGTCACTTGTGGTGGTGAGGGGGGGGGTCTCAGACAGTTCCCAGTGATAACTGGGGGAGGAGGGGTCCCAGGGGGAGTCTCAGGGGGGTTCTGAGGCACACGGGGGAGGGAGGGGAGTCTCGGGGGGGTCCAGGGCACACGGTGGGGGTGGAGTGTCTCAGGAGGGTCCGAGGGGTCTCAGGGGCTGCCCTTAGAGGGGATCTCTGAGGGAGGGTATTGGAGGCTCCTGGGAAGGTCTCAAACGGGAACGGGGGAGGGAGGGGGGTCTCGGGGCCCATTTGGGGTCCTTCAGGGGTGGGGTGGGGTCGGGGGGAGGGCGGCCCCTCCCCCGGCGCTGCCCCTGCTGAGGGTCCGGGTCCGGCCCCGCTCGGCCCCGCCCTCCCCCCCCGGGGCACAGCAGGAGCCGGTCCTGGAGCGGGACAGACGGGTCATGGTCGAGGCCGCCACTGGGGGAGGGGCAGCGTCAGGACACGCCCCTCCCACCCCAAAAACCCACCCACGCCCCTTTCCCCTAAACCACACCCTGTTCCCATAAACCACGCCCCCTTTCCTTTAGACTATGACCCATTGCCCTTAAACCACGCCCACACCCCTTAAACCACACCCACTCCACTTAAACCACGCCCCCTTTCCCTTAAACCACGCCCATTCCTCTTAAACCACGCCCCACTCAGTCTCTTAAGCCCCTAAGCCATGCCCCCCAGAGCCCTGCATGCATATTAATGAGCTTCTGTGCATATTAATGAACCCAGTGCACATATTAATGATAACATCGCCACCCATCAGCGCCCCCATCCATGATAATGACCTCTCATGCATATTAACGACCCCCTCATGCATATTAACGAGTCCCTCATGCATGTTCATGACTCACTGTAGCCCATCCCCTGCAGGAAGTACTTGATGGCCTCGGTGAGACGCCCCGGCTGGGGGGGGGGAGGGGTCAGCCCGTGACCCCCCTCAGTGTGGGGGGGAAGGGGTCACGACCCGCCCCTCCCTCACCCCTCGTGTGACCTTTGACCTCTCTCACCTGTGAGATTTGGGGCTGCCCCCCGCCGTCGGCCATCTAAAACACAGGGGGGTCAGGGGAGGTCAGGGGGGGTCATGGGGATGTCCCCCCTGGGCGGGGGTGGGGGGGACGGGGGTCAAAGGTCACCTTCAGGAAGGAGGTCTGGGTGGGGTCCAGCTTGGCATTGCACTCCACCTTTGGGGGGGGAGGGGGGGGTGTCAGGGGGGTCACGTGACCTCGCTCCAGGGGTCACATGACCCCCCCCAGCCCCCACTCACCACAGCGTCCTCATGGGGGGCGTTGTCACCGACCACGAGCAGGACAGGGCAGCTGGGGGGCAGAGGTCACGGGGTCAGAGGTCACGGAGTCAGAGGGGTCACCCCGGGGCCAAGGTGTCACTTCAGGGGTCAAGGGGGTCACCCCAGGGTGAACTGGGGTCATGGGGTGGTCCCAGGGGTCAAGGGGTCACTCACCGCAGGCTCCCAGCCCCGCTGCGCTCCAGCCCGAGGTCCCCGCGGCTGAAAGGGAGGGAGGGGCTTGTTTGGTCCTGCCCACTTTGGCCACACCCACCCACCCTTTTAGGCTCCGCCTCACCAAAGTCACCCTTCCTTTGCCTCGGACTCCGCCCTTTTGTGGCCACACCATCCAGCCACACCCAGCTGTAGCCACGCCCACCCCACCACACCCTCTCAGGCCCCGCCCCCCACCTGGCGAACATGGACCAGAACAGGGCCGGGTTCGGTGTCTTCCCCAAACGCTCCCGGAGCCGCCGCACGTGGGGGGGGGCGGCCGACAGCTCGTCCTGTGGGGAGACCCCCCGGAGAGAGAGAGACCCCCACCCCCCATCGGGGCTGACCCTTCACCTCTGACCCCCCCC